TGTGTAAGGGTAGAATCGCGAATGCATTCTATTAATTTTTGTGCTTGGAGAAAAAATCTACGACATTGCTATTTAAAAATACTGCCGCTATTGAGATTTTTATCAATGTTATTATTGGATCAACGAAGCGACGCTGACACTAAAATTAATTGCGCTGCCATATGCAGACGTTTAGACAAATTGTTGTTGTCACGTTTGACACGAACGAGCGTCTCAAATTTATTCTTATGAATCACATGCTATTTTTAACTTTAATGTTTTTGCATATATTCATTGTTTATGTATATTCAGCTTCTTATGCGGAGTTAACGCGCATTCATCAAAGTGTAACATCAATGAATAGTAATATCAATAGTAATATTAATATCGTATGAATGTACATTTGGCCTTTTATATATGTATATTATTAGAGAATTTATGAGACATCAATAATATATATTTACTTATACATATGTTGGCTTTATATATATAATAGACGTACGTATTTTTTGTTTTTATTATAGGTGTGTTATGTTTATATATACTATATACATATATACACTGTGCGTGAATATGTTAGTGACAAGTGTCAATGTCGGAAAATGTAATTCTTAGTTGTGATTTATTTTTTTAAGATCAGTTGTTCCTTCGAGACAAAATATCAATTCTGAACATTTAACTTAATCACAACTAGTCAAGTTTACTGCGTAATTAATCTAATTTCTACGTAACAGATAAAGAAGTTTTTATATATATTTTGAATTATAATTAATCCATAGTCAGTAGTATAGAAATATACAATTTATTACGTATTTTGTCTAATAAGTTTTCATGCGCTTATGTTTATATTATACATTTAAAAGAGCCAAATTCATCTAGATATATTTTGATAATGTTTTTTATTTTTTATAGAAACGAGAATTACACATTGCAAAATTTGTTAAAAATTAGATTTGTAACTTGTAAAATTATTTTACTATCTTAACTCGTTATTTTTCGATTTTTTAATACTCTATCTGAAATGCCGAGAATTCGCCAGATCTAATTCGAAATGTGCAATTAACATTGTGCAATATTTGTTGTACAATGACAAAAGCCGAATCTTCTCGAAGGAACAATTTGTATTACATTAACAAACGACATTACCAATGTGTCTGTAATTTCGAGATAAAAATCTCTGAGAAGCACAAAGTGCATTCCTATCACGCACTAACTAATAACAGGATTAACACACTTTTAAATAATTGATAACACGGTAAATCATTGGGATCGAAGAGTATGTTATATTTAATATCGCAGTGGTAGAGAGAGAGAATTATAGTCCGATATGCGGACTGGTATATCACTGTTGCCGGATGATGAAGATTAATCTAGATGTGTATGGTAAAAAAATAGACTACGTTAAATGACATTTTAATCAAGGAATAGAATGACTCGTTGTAATATCTTCTCGCGGCCTTGTTTCGCGTAACGGAAGGTGCCGCAATTTCATTTCAAAACGCTTCCATTTTGAGACAATGATTACTAGCGTTCAGCAAAGTGAATTGGTTTTCTTTTTGACGAATAGATTGCAACACAGCCAACCTTTTTGCTTACGTGAATTAATTATAACGTTAGATAAATTCATTAATAATGTTAGAAAAATTACATTTAACAGTCTATTAGTCTCGAGATAATTTGGTTTATGTAATAGAGATAAAATCGAGATGATGAAACGGTATCTTCGTTACGATGAAGAAAAGCCGGTGTGAACCAGGTCGTCCCGTATGTAGCGCAATTCTGTAACTTTCACAGTTTTACAGTTAGCACCATTCGTAAATGCATGCAATCTGCCCTAGTATAGGAACTTGTGTTCAATTTGTTAAAACCTTATTCAGAGAAGTTATGTTGTTGTTATGTAGGAATATGGAAAGTCTATATAGATATTATATATAT